CGGGCCCCGCGGGGCATGAAAAATCAATGCCCCGTGCATCTCTGATATGAATATTCTTATCTAAATAGGGTTGTCAATGTACCCTTGTATATGTATACTGTTACTCTAAGATCGTCATGCTTATTGTCTTCTATGTATATCCCAATACCTGACCAGAAATATCTATTCAAAAACAAAAACCTTCAAGTAGTAATTATAAAGGCATAAAGTTTTATAAAGAGTTTTCTTGACAAAAATATTCTACATTTACAAAGAGAAATAGAAAATAGATGTATGACTTCATTATAAATGTGTCTGATTGTTAAAGAAAAAGATGGTAAGAAATCGTATGAAAAAAGTAAAAGACGGCGATAAAAGTAAAGTCCAATTTGTTTTCTATATCACTCCTGAAGAAAATTTACTGAAAACAAAAAAACTCTCATCGTACAGGACAATTCTTTTTTTAAATAAATATTATATTTTAGAGCTAGTATAGAGAAAAGGATAGACATTTAGAAAAAAGATTTACTTAACTTGTAATCGATATAGTAATTTATCTATGACTTCTGAATCTGAATATAAGTGATGTCATGTATTTCAATAAGATTAAATTTGTTCATATTTGTAGTTTTTGTTACACTGGATATGAGGAAAGGAGTCATATCGTATTTTTGTCGATATAAGTGGAACAAGCTACACCTCCACTATCTCTTGTCTCTCGATCTCAACTAGGTAGAACATAATAGTGAAAACTCAAAAAGCTTTCTGGAAACTCAAATAGATCATCTAATCACAAAAAGTCAATAGACAAATGTCTTACTTGAAGATGGTCGATCAATAATATTTTGAAAAATAAATGAAATTTGTTTGAAACATTAAATCTTTTTAATATTTTTGTTATTTTAACTTCATTTAATAAATATTCTGAATCTGTATTTGTTTTTAATATTTTCATTACATAATGTGGAGAATCTTCAGCTGAATGGTTATCTTCATTTTTTTCTAATAAATAAACCATTGATGTGTAACCATTTACTCATTCTTTTGTTATCATATATCGGTCACCAAGTAAATCATCATCAGGATTTATTTGTAATCCTTCATAATAATAATAGCAAAAATCCATTGTTAAAAACTCTATAAAAATGTTCCATGTATCTTTATTAACACCTAATTTTCTTTTATTTTCAGTTATTGTTGACGTATCAATAGACGATAATATTTCAGACAAATAGTTAAACATTTCTAATTCTTGACTTTGAAAATATTCATATGAATTCGAATAAGAGTTCTTGTGTACATGAAAAAATTTGATATGTGTATAATTACTAAGAAAACCAAATATGCTTTCACGACATTGAACTGTCAATATAATTTTCAAATATTGTAATATTTCTTCAATTATTGAATCTTCTGATAAAGAAACATTTGGAGATTTTAAATTACCAAGACAAACAACAAAATCTTGTAAAAATGAATCTTCTTTATTAATTTTAATATTTATATTTTTATATATAAATGTACAATCAGGATTAAATTTATCTTCTAAATAATATGAAGAAGATGTATTAAAATATTTCAGTGATGTATTATTATTCAATGGATTTAATAAATTAAAAATTAAATGATCAAATTCTTCACGAATTTCTTTTTCGTTTAATTTAGAATATGATGAAAATTGATTTGAATAATGTTCAATATAATTTAATATATTATCATTAAAATAATTATTCTCGTTTAATAGTTCATTAATATCGAACGAATATGAATTATCGATTACATCGATATCGTAAAAATTATAATGAGATGTAAATACACGACGACGTTTTGCAGTTGATGAAATGTCTTCCTCGTCTATCATTCGTCGTTTTTTTTCGATACTTTCATTTATTTCCTTAAGTTTCATTTCGTTGAATCGTTCTTCTGTTTCTAAGATTTGTTGTTTTACTTGTCTGATACATAGTTTCGCTTTTCCGATTCGTTCTTTTGCTTTTCGATTTTCATTAATACGTCAAGTTCACGTATCTTTTTTGTTGATTTCATGTTTATCTATTGCTACTTGGATTTGGTTTATATCCCAAGCTTCACTTTTCATTTTTTCGATTTGATTTTGATATTTGCTCTCCTTGGTTAGTTCTATTTCTTCAGCTTTACGTTTCATTTTTTCGATTCCATCCCGAAGTTGTTGAATTTCTTGTTCTATTTTTTCTTGCTCTTCAAGTTGCTTTTTTATTAATATTTGTAGACTTTCTTTGTAATCATCGTTTGTAGCCATAGTTATGTAGTTTTTTTAAATTTTTATCTACAATCAAAATAGAAAAAGATATTTCATGAACTGAAATCAAAAGGACAAACCACCAGTCAAGTGATTATAGTCAGACAAGATCGAATGGCAAAATGACGCTAATGCGTAGCTTATTTCATATATAATTCACAATTGACCACATTTATATATGATAGGAGAATAGAATAGAGTCGGCCGGACGAATGATTTCAGTCGACAAGTTTTTGCTCTGAACTCGAGCAGTCAGAAAAGTCAAAAATTGATGCGTTATAATGACCTTTATACGTTTGCTCTTTCAACGCAGTTTACACAGTGAAAAATATCCGAGTTTTTGACGCTTTAATGGTCGAGCTTTTTTTTAATCGCACACAGTTATAACGTGAGAAGCATGAAACGTTTAAATGCATTTCTATATAGACGCGTAAAAAGGTGAAAATTCAAATATTTTTAACTCTTTGAAACAACTTAATACAAAACACATTTTAACGATTGTTTATTTATGCCATTTTCTTTCGTTCACAAGCTGAATTCATTAAACCTTAATCAACTGTTCCTGTAGAAATCCCTGGGAATTATCGAAAAATCAAGCGATCAATTTCTGGAGACAACGTAGATGAATTTCCCTTAGAGGTTGCTTGGAAATGTATCCGTTTTTGCTTGAGTTTTCGAGAATCTGTGCAGATTTTGTCAATCTATCGCAATTCTTTGAGAATATCTATAGAAAGCGTTGACTAGAAAAACTTGTAACTTCGAGTACAGGATTTAGCAAATGTTATATTCAGCTAAGAAAAAGAACTGACCTTGTTTTTTAGTTCTCTCTATTTTGGGAATTACATCGTATATTGAGGCATGTATTTTAGATGACAATATTCAAAGAAACTGCAGATCAGCTGACTTCAATGTCAAGAAATTGTTAAAAACATGTTGATATAACTGATCATTATTGTCAGTGAATTCTTGTCTTAATAGGAATAGAAAGATTGTTGATAAGTTTGACATAGTTGAACACTCTTCTGAAATATACTTATGTTGATAAACTATTTACAATGAACTGACTTATTCTGTTTGAAGTAGACTTTTCCAAATTAAGATTAAAAATTGATAATAGAAATGGAATACAATGAGTGAAAAAGGAGCAGAAATCTATATATTCTTAGTCTAATTTGCTAGTTTTATGGAAAAAATCTAATCTATCTATTCATGGCTATTACCGTTTTGTTTTCTCCACACTATGAAATTAGAATAAAAATATATGAACTATTCTTTTTTTTTTTCTTTCATCGTATTCCATTTCTATCATCAATTTTTAATGTTAGCTTGAAAAAATTTTCTTCAAAGATGATACGTCATTCTCTTGTAAATAGATTATCAATTTAAATATATTCTGGAAAAATACTCAACAACGTCAAACATTGTTAATGAAATGATAACTTGTTATTTTTTGTTAAAGTATTGAATATCAATTTCTTTGGCATTTTGTATCGAAATTTCTTCAGTGAATCGTACTTATGAATATTCTCTCGGTCATTTTTGGCTCTATGAGAGTAAATAATTATCGAGAAAATAATGACCCAAATCAAAGAAATCTAAATCACTTTATTACACATAAAATGGCATGCATTAGCGTCTGGACTAGTCTAAAGTTTATAGAAGTTATTCTATGTCAAGTGTAAAAAGTCTTTTTCATCGGTCAAGTCTAGTCTGTTCATACTGTTTAGACTCCTCAATAAAACACAATTGAGTACCTGACTAGTCTGGTCTGTTTTCAATAGCGATACGGACTAGTGTACAGCATCATTTGTATTGTTCATGGCTAGTCCATTTTTGAGAAAATAATACTAATTCTTATTCAGACTACTCGAAATTTCGCCCGGAAGTCTCTTTTACTTTAACCTTATTTTCCGGACAACTTTCTTAGAGTGGTTCATGTGAGAACTAGAAAGATGCGTCTTTAACTGTATAAATCACATCCTAAAATAAAATAGATTCTTCATACAATCGTTCAGGCTAATGGGTATCTTTAGATCTTTGTAAACTCTTTTGAAATATGTAATAATTAGGATTCAGGAGAACCTACCAGAATTCATTGTGTTCAATTCCTATACTTTAAACCAAAATTTATAATAAAATTGCGGTAAAAACTGATGTGAATGGAAGATTCTTTTGTAACTAGATCTTGTTGCATGCATTATTCATAGTTATGGATAAGTATGTTGAAATATAAAAGTTATTATGTGAAACACATAGAAGTTCAAAAAAAAACAGTTTTATGTTTCATTGTTTAAACTTCTGGAAAAAAACTCAACATTTTTTCATCAAAAGTAACCTAAAGAGGTCAATAATGAAGATATTTCTGTTGAAGAATAAGACCAATAGTGATAGTATAATAAATTTTATTAGTCAGGACTCAAATAAAGTGCTTTATTGGAATCATATTTCAGTGGAAAAAATCTTACATGTTTTCGTGAGACAAAAACCGAAAATCGCCTGAAATATGAAAATCATTCTGTCTCATCCCATTCGGAGCGTTGTTCACCATATTTTTCCTGACTGAAAATTAAATTATCTAAATTGAACATGGTGGAACCAATCAGAAATAGTTGCAATCGCCTTGTGTAGACGAATGGATTGTTTTGTAACGAAATCCATCATCTTCAACCGTGCCTCTTTCTCCATATTGACCTTGTTACCTCTGCATCTGACCGCTGTTCATTGTCTACCTCTCCTATATAAGCGTCTATGGGGTGGGTGTGGGTGTGGGTGTGGGTGTGAGCGCGGGTGTGAGTTTTCTCTCTAAATACACGTACACCCACCGCCACATCCCACACACACCCACACCCCCACCCTTTTTACGTTCAGCATTTGATGTATATTCTTTGTTCAAAAAAATTCCTAGAAGTAGAGCTTAACAATCAGTATGATAAAGATGCGATCACAAACTTGAAAAAAAAGAAAATGAGCAATAAACAGAAGCTGATGATTCACTTTCATCATTTCGGTTCCGATGAAAATGTCAAATCCATTAGTGTGCTCAAGTATAATTATTCAAGATTTATTCATTTTGGATCACTAAACCCTGTCAATTTGTAAACAAACACTTGAAACAAAAAATTTCATATAGTGAAGAAACACGGTCCTGGTATAACAGAATTATTATTCTAGTTGTAGTATAAAATGGAATTTGACATGCAAAAACGTAATTTATATATCATTAATAAAAACATTATATACTAACACGAAATTGTAAATTAAAATATACAATAAACGTTGCATTGTATATTAGATTGTACACGTTATTTTTGTGTTACGCCAGAATCACAGTTTAATCCTTTGAATGAATTTCTCTATAGAATGTGTAGAGCATATTGACTAATGAGTAATGCTGATTTGACTATTGCATATTTCGATAAACTCATAACTTAAACTCTGATTAGCGTCAAATTTTAAATAGCAGAAATGATTTTCTTAGCTGTAAAAAGAAAAACGAAATATCTTTTCTTTGTTTACAAATTTTTCAATCGTTATTGACGGTTATCCATTTTCACATAATATAGAAGACCTTTCTAAATGTTTGATGGTTTATAAGAAGCGAAAATATTTTTTTTGATTTATGATAAATCGATAGATGTTTATTGAAAAACACGAATAAGTAAACCATATGGTATGATAGATGATCGTACTTCTGTAAAGTATTCTATTTCACTGTTAGGAATAATAGAGCATATACGTCTGCTGCCAGCACGAATGGTTTCAGCTTGAATCTTATATGTTCCAGGTTGTTGACGACATTGTAACACGTCTTTAGCTTTATAAAATTGTCCTGAGGTTGAACGAAATGGAATAGATGGACTGTAAATATCATCGCCTGAATAGGCAATGGTTGGAGATGTGTATACTTGAAATTTGCCCGGAATATGACCTTCACATATTCGAATGACATGTCCACCAATACATTGATCTCCTGGAAGAAGAAATTGATGATGTTCAATGATGGATTTCGCTGCTTGAGAACTTGTACCATGATAACTTACAATCCATTTGTTCCATATATTTTCAGCTTGTGCTTGTGCATCATCAACATACAATCCGAAACGAACCCAACCACGCGGAATAACATATTTTGAATCTGGTTCTACATAAAAATCTTTGCTATTAGCTGAATAGCATTTTTCACAATAGCATCGATTATGTTTTCTATTGAAAAGCTTTTTGGAATATTTCAAAGAGAGCATAAACTCGAGACATAGTTTGAAATAATTACAAGGTTGAAATGTTGTCATACTTGGAGAAGGAATTAGACTAGTAGCCGGACTTGCTGCTAGATCCAAGTTACTTCGATATTTTTCAACATCTGAATAATCACTTATTTTGTCTATGAAGCTGTTGATTAATCTTTCAGATGTTCGTTTGGCAGTAGAAACCAATTCACTAGATTTCATAGGCAGATGCATTGAACTGACACGCAAAAATAATCTCGAACATTGACATTTATTACAATATGCAGTTTCAGTAGGTGAAAGTTGAATAAAGAATTTTACTGCTTTGCAGCTAGTACATTTGTAAAGCATGGTGTATGCACTAAATATATATGTACATAAATAAAATATGTCAATACGCAGTTGTAGTCATATAGTAGTTAGATAAATTCCTTTCATTGATAGTGAAAGCAATGCTACTATGCTATCATCGAACTCTTTAATAGTAATAATACATTAGACAACAATAGCTGTTTTATATATTTATGTTATATGCTTCAAATCATTCTTACTTACCTTTTTGATAGTATTTGTTAATAGCTCGATATGCTCAAGTTGGAAATTCTTTCTTTTACCGTTATGTCAAAAGTCTAAGGTAAAAATGTACATAAAAGTCATAAATAATACAGCAATTCTTTTACATAGAGCTTCAATGATAGACTTCCGTTCTGTTTCTCTGATAAGCAGACCAACTATAAAACAAATGAGACGAAAGCACATGTCCTTTATCAAGTAAGTGGATAAAACAAGTACAGAAGTCAAACAAAAAAATAATACCAAAAGTGAATGCCGACAAACTATGCATCAGTTACATCGAATTTAATACGAGTTAATAACAAAACTAATGCAGAACTTCGCATTCAAATAAATAATAGTCCTAGAACAACAATAAATCGTCAGACTACAACACGATCACTATGTAGAACTTTTGCGACTTACAGTAACTTATTTTACAAAAAAAAAAATTATTCATTGTAAATAGGAATTTTTTTTAATTTAAACTACACCAGCACTATCACGCCAACGCCTGGCTATTGTGGCAGTTGGTTTTATAGTTTTGACCGATATTGGATTTTGTATATGTTTATGTGCTTTAATCTATTACATTTATCGACGATGGAAACGTTGTAAGTTTTTTATTACCTACTTCGTAGTATCGTTAATAACATGCACATTGAAAAGTAAAAGAATTACACAGAATCATAGTAGGATAGTTCAAAAAACAAATACTCATTTATAAAATTGATCAATGTCGTGTAAGAAACACAGAAGTAAACAGTAGCCGATATCATTTATCAAAAAAATATAATTGACATTTGATACTGAAATTGATATTATAATTATTTACCTATGTTGTTATGTAATTTAGATACATCATCATCAATAAAACCAAAAACTCCAATTACACCCTCTGTTCCATTGGTAGACTTATAAAAACACCCGGTTAAACCTGTCGCACGAATTCAGTCGTAAGTATATAAGTGACTGCACTATATTTCTTAGTCACAAGCGCATTTCATTCATATCTAGTCGTCCTCCTAATGATGTGGCTTTGCCAAAACCTTCAGCGGTTCTTC